TAAAGTCACTGAAGCAATGAAACAAAAGTTTTTGGTAGAATACATTAAATCAGGAACTATTCCGGAAGGTTTTTACATTCATACTATGAAGGATGGTAGAGTTCAGTTTAGAAAGATAAAGCAACCATTAGATAAAGAAGGAATTTTGAGAAAGATTAAACTTCATGAGGACAACATTGCTGAACTTAGGAAGAAGTTAGAAGAGTTGGAGAAAGGAAGAGAGTTATAAAGTAATGAATTCAAGTGGGTGAAAAAACAGGTGAAAAAAGAGGTGAGATCTCACCGCTTCACCTAAATTTATTTTTGCGCTATGTTTTCATACGTGTGGGAGTGGTGATATCATTAATTTTTAAGTTTATTTTTTAAGTTTATTTTTAAGTTTATTTTTATATAAATGACGAAAACTATTGAGATAACAAACTACAACGGTCATGAGTTCAAGAATTTGTTCTTCGTTCCTCGTGAAAATACATTCTATCAGATACGAGGGAGAAAGGGTAAAGTTAGTTTGAGCGTTTATGACTACAAGCATAATGGAAAGTTTATACAAGCATACGATACAAACGGTAAACGTGTTTCATTAGCTTTGTCAAAACTTACAGGTATAAACTATGACAGTGATTTTGACCTATATGAAGAAGAAAGTGAGTCAGAAGATTATGAGCTGTTATGTGAAGCACAGCAATGGGAAGCGCTGCAATACTTTTGTAAGTGAGAACGTTTATTTTTACAGTAGTGAAGTCGTTTGTGAAAACATTAGTGAGGTGAAGTGGTTGGTGGCTTTGTAAATATTTAAGGTTAAGTTAGTGTTGTCGTTGTGTTGTAAAATATACGTTAACGGTTTCGTAAAGTGTCAAATTCACATATCAGGGGTAAGGAGACGCGCAGTGCCTCAGTACCCATGATATGTATACTAACTTCTGTTTCAGTTAAATTACTGAATTTTTCAAGATTAATATTGTGATAAAAATAGAATCCTTGAAACATTCTGATATCTTTTCAATGTTTAAAACGGATGCTAAAAAATGTAAAAGAACTTCATCAGTCACTGTGATTTTTTTGAAAAATTTATCCCAATTCAAGCATCCAATTGATCTTTCTGTCATTGTACTTATGCATTGATAAAGTTGATTTAATGAATCCGAAGAATAATCATTATGCTTGACTAGTTGAGTTAGTTGATACAGACTGTCGTCAGCCATTTTAAAAAAATGAATAAAATTGTATAGTAAATTATATTTGTGAAATTTGTGACGCTACATTCAATCTAAGACCAATATCTCAAAGAATTACTCATTTAAGTATTACTTTTCATTGTTTTTTAAAAAATATCTTTGCTTATTTGTTCACTTTTTTGACATTTATTATATGCTTTTTATCATATTTCCGATGATATGAATATATATTCTATATAAGAATGACGCTACATTCAATCTAAGACCAATATCTCAAAGAATTACTCATTTAAGTATTACTTTTCATTGTTTTTTAAAAAATATCTTTGCTTATTTGTTCACTCTTTTTGACATTTATTATATGCTTTTTATCATATTTCCGATGATATGAAATATATATTCTATTAAGAATGACGCTACATTCAATCTAAGACCAATATCTCAAAGAATTACTCATTTAAGTATTACTTTTCATTTTTAATTCAATTTTCGAACGGTTTTCGTAAATTTTGCATCATTTCATTTTTTAATGAGAAAATCATCTATATTTAATTCAAAAAAGAGCAAACTTTACAGACGAAAATAAAATATTTATCAGGGACAATCTGATAAATACCAAAAATCAACATCGAGAGATGAAAAAACGAATATAATCAAACAAGTTCTTCAATATTTTAATATTAAATACGCCGAAAATGAATCTAAAGCTGTCAGAAGATATTTTAGTTATATTGCAGTTAAAAATATTCCCGCAGTTACTGGAAAATATCCTGATACAATTGTTCGCAAAGATATGCTTTTTCGCATGATCATACAAATATTATTAATTCAAATAATATTGAACGTTACTACCGTTGCATCGATCATTCTTGTCAAGCACGTTATTTAGTTAAAATTGAGAACAGTTCAGTTTCCGAAGATTTACAAAAGGAACATATACCCGAATGCAGACAATTTAAAAAGTTACAAAATGAAAAAAATGATCTTCATAAATCAATGACTCTGACAGAAATATACAATAAGGCAATGCAAAATTTTCTGAAGACAACGGCACTTTTCAGCAGATTAAAAAATTTATGACAGAACTTGCTGTTGGTACTGATGAAAACCCATTAATTAAAGATTCATTGGTCAGGGAAGTTTATAATAAGTCCAGAAAATTTTCTGTTGGAGAAAAAATTACAGACGATGAAATTGCTAATTTTTGTTTAATAAATGGCGAGCAGTTTTTCATTGGCCATGATTTTCAAGCAAATTGTGAGACGATGTTTTTTGGTTTTGAGAAGGCAATTCAATTTGCAAAAGAAGCCACAGATTTATTTTGCGATGGAACTTTTAAAATTACACCAAAACATTTTCAAAAAGGACAGATGCTAACAATTATGATTTGTGAACCTTCAACAAATCAATATCTACCACTTTATTTATATTCATGAAAAACCGCACATTTGAATCTTATAAGAAGGCATTTGAATATATTTTTACTGTCAAGGGTATTCAATTTTCAAAGCTAATTCAAATTCATTGTGATTTTGAAAAGGGAATGATAGAGGCACTTCAACAAATTTTCCCTAAAGTCCGTATAATTGGATGCCTATTTCATTTCAAACAAGCTTTACACAGGAAACTTGTAGCACTTTATACAAAAAATTTCAATACTTTACAAAATTCTTTATTTAAGCTATATTCTATTACTCCATTCATGTCTCATGAAGAATTTGTACTTACAATGCATATAATTAATCAAAATAAAGTTGATTCGATCAAAGATTATATTGATTATTTCAACAAAGTTTGGTTGCCGCACTACAATTTAATATCTCAATATAATAATGCAACTGCAATATTCACTAATGATTGCCTCGAGAGTATGCATTCAGAATTTTCTTAGTTAAAACATCCAAACATTTATGAAGCTATTAAGAAGATATCTCAAATCCAATTAGATAAATATAACGCCATCAAAAATAACCAGAAGATCGAGCGCCATATAAAAACCGTTATCACTGATAGCTACAAAAATTATATTCTTGACTGCTTTCAAAAAGACTTGAGAAAACAATTTTTTCTATCAAACAATACAACGTAAGTGATCTTTCTTTGGCTCAGAACGAGATTTCTCCATATGGTTCCATAGAATCGAGTTCATTGTTCGAAAATATTCCAGTTCATAATGCAGATATACTCAAATCGATCGATCTAACAGATAAAGATACAATGATCACTAAGTTTATTAATGAAAAAGAGAAAAAATTATGGCATTATTTAATGAAACATTAAATCATCCAGATTTTAATTCATCCACTCCAATTCAAACTAATTTTGAGCAAGCCGATACAAATCAAGGTTCAGATGCTCCAATTCGCTCCGAAAATTCAAATATTGCAGACTCTACAGATTTAGAACCAGAAAATCAAAACCATCCTTCTACAAATCAAATGTCTAGTAATCTAGAACATAAGCTGGACCTTCTTGATCATATTGAAAAACAATTATCGAAAATGCGTTCGTTATTGGGAATTCTTCCTACTACAAATGCTATTGTTGGGCCGTCAAAACAAGTTTCAGTTAATAGCAAGCAAAATTCTGAAAAAAATAAGAAAAAATCTTCCATAACAACAAAATCAAACAATAAAAAACAAAATTCATCCGACAATCCTCCTCAACGTAAAGCTCCTATTTCGGAAAGGATTCTCAGCGATAATAACTTATATTTTCAAGTTCATCGAAAGAGATCGAAAAGCAAACGTTCCACATCTACAGAGAAAAAGAATTGATATATGAAGTCTAATTCCTTTTATAACTACTATATTTTTATTCTTATGACTAAAAAATAATATATTATTTAACAATTTTCATCTTTTTCTTTTAACAATTTCGTTTTATTTCCATTTATTGTTAAATGATTTTTAGCATACACCTTTCTTTGTTCATCTTCTAAATACAATTTATTTTTTCTTAGATATAATTCTATTCATTCAATTCGATCGTCATTTTTCAGTACATGATCGTAACTTTCAATTATTGATCGCGATTTTACTTCAGAATTTGTTCGCAATATTGCTTATCAAAATTATATCTCTATTCTCTCATTTCTGTTTAGTCAATATCATTACACTCCTATTGTCTAATAACATGCTATTAATTTTCTTAAAATTAAAAAAAAATATCAACTTTTAAAAACAGAAACTTAACATCCTTAGGTCAATGGATTTTGATGTGAGATACATTAAATCTGTTTTTCTTTTTTTTTATTTTAAATAATTGAATATTTATAGTTGTTATGGGTCTTACATCATGTAAAACGAATTGTCTTAAAGTAAATTTACTTTTTCTTCAATCTTTCTTACATATTTATTAAAAAAAAATTATCCAAAAAAAGATGTTTTAGAATGAAAAAAAATAGAAAAATCTTCATTTATAGTCTTTCTTGAATGTATACGTTTTGATTTTTTTCTTTTTTAAAAAATTCAATTTCTAGAAAAATCGAAAAAAAATCATTTTCTTCTATTTTTTAGGACGCCATACCCATTGAAATCTCCTCTCAGGACGCCATAAACTATTCAATTATGGTGTAAACTTCTCAAAAATTGAATAGTTTACATCAGGACGCCTTAGGACGCCAACCCTTTACGCGCCCAAATTTTGCGATATCTCAAAATAAAAAAGAATAAAAGTATTAGATCAAACACGTATTTATCAAAACTAAATACAAACAATACAAATCTATTAGTTAAATAAGAAAATGAAGTAATCAAGAGAAAAAATAATTATAATAATTGGAAAGCATTAAAATTATAACGTAACTAAGTAGGGATCTTTGAGTTAGAAATATTGTGGATTGTTCATGAAGAAATCAATGACCATTTCTGGATTTAGTTCAATCATATAACTTTCTGGAAAAGTAAAATTCGAATTTGGATCACCTACATCTGCAAACTGCACCAAGAATTCACGAGAAGCAGGATTGTACTTAAGAATTTTGTTAATTACGCCGCCTGAAGCTAGATTACCAACTAAATCAGGTTTAGGCGCTCTACAGTTAATAGTATAGATATTTTGAGAAGGATCTGCTGCATATTGAATATTTGCAGAATTCGCATGATCAATTGTTTCAGTTTCAACATCTTTCAAGAATCCTGGATTTGGTCCCCAATAAAGATTAAGAATATCTGGGTATAGATTGACTGTTTCTTGATTAACCCAGACATATACCGTATCTCCATTTTCTTTTTTCGCTTGTACAAAATAGAAGATAACATCTTTAACTAAGCGATGGTAAATGATTTGAGTAACACTTGTAATGACTTCTGAATCCGATTGTTGTTCAGTATTTTCATTCATGTTAAATAAAAAAGTGACAAAATTGAATGCAATAATACAACATCTTTTTGGAGAAAAATAAGTAAATAAACAGTTTTACGTTTGGTAATACTATGATAATTTTCAAGAAAAACATAAGCATACGTTGAATAATGTTAAGAATTGAAAAATTAAACTTAACGAATATGCTTAAACTAAGTTTTGCAATACAATAGTGATGTATCATTAAAAGTTATGTCTTTAATAAACAGATAGATAATAATATAATATATAATCTAAGAAAAGGTTGAATAAATTATTCAAGGGCTAAGAAAGCTGCGATGTTATCATCAACAGGCGTATTATATGAGCTATATGACGTTAATCTAATAAATCCAATAAATCCAAGAGGAAGAAGCTCCGTAATGAAGCATTCGAAGAGGAATACAATGAAGTATCCATCACTGAACTCGCTGTATCCACTATCTTTTGTGAAAATCAAAATGTACGTCAGAATGCAAACGGGCCTTAAGAATAACGCAATAATTAAAACAATGAGCATAACAAGTAATCTAGTCTCGGGAGATTCCCAAGATGGGCAGCAGGACTCAAATAATTTAATAATTTTGAATAAGTAGAAGAGAAACGCAACTGCACAAGCCAGATCACGTATTGTAGCGACAACTGATTCAACGTTATGAGCGACCGTCAAATAATACTTTTTGCTGTTTGCAAGGAAAGAAGATGCAATCATGAAGCAGAATGAAATAACGAATAGTGCTATAATTATGTAAATAAGGATTGAAAGCAATTTCTTGCTGTTATGGTAGAATCCGACAGCATTTTTTTCTAAACTTGAATAACAAACAGAACACCATGAGAAAAAGATGTAAGAATATGCAACAGCAGTCATATATCCTGGAAATCCTGTTGGTATAATACTGTAAATATCCCATTTTGTTGGTTGTTTTTCATCTTTGGGAAATCCTACAATTATCATAATTCCGGCTACAATTAATCCGATTGATTTAACGAATAATGCAATTATATAGAAGATCTGAGCTGAACGCTGTCCCTGAACATTATTGTCGGTTATTAACGAATCTTTAAGTGTTTTGATGACGTAATATATGGCAAACGCAAGAATAATGCATCCGATTACAATATATCCGCACTCCCACAAAGTGAAATTTGGGTCCGAAAACGTTGAATTACCCATGAAAATTTTCTGTTTGAGTAGGTGACAAAAGTGCATACTCTTAAATTAACCTTAAATGTTGATTTTTCAATATTTTCGGTATTAACCTTATTGTAAATTTTTCCGGTGATAAATTTATCACACTGAGGTTATTTTTCCGGTGAGATTTTTAACCTTGATTTAATGAAATTAATATATATAAATTTTATTATTTTTAATTTCGAATGAGTATAATAAAATATTTTTTATGTGTTTTTGTTTTTGATGTGATTTGAATTTTGTTAACTCTTTTCAAAATCACTTCATTTTTATGATTTCGGTGGACTTAGAGGAGCTTATTGCTTTTGGTATTAAACAGGAAGTCAAGGGCGGTGTCCCATACAGAAGAAGAACGGGATCTCCAAAGCAATATGTCACTTATTCATGTTCGTATCCCCTATGCAAGGCAAAATTTAGGGTTGAAGAACAAAATGGAGTGTTTACTATAAGCAAAGTTAATGAAGAACATTGCCATCATATAGGAGTTGAAATGGGTTCACATTACGCGAGTAAATTTTATCAAAAATGGATCGAACTTTATATTAAAAACGGTGGAAAGCAATTTCTTGCTCAAAAAGCATTTTTTGATAAGTTCGGAATTGATACGAATAACAAAGAAACGATGAAACTTTTCGCGCAGTCTACTGATGCTTTAAAGCACAAATTTTATCGCCTTGATGAGATTATTGCACAAAGATTATCAAACGATCCTTACACTTCTTTGGAAGCATTTTTGAATAATTTACAGGAAGAGTGCCCAGATGATCTCGTTCAATTTGATTACAATGGAGATTTTTCCGAGTTTACAATCATATATGCACCTTTTGCTGCAAAAGAATTGGTGCATAGCATTGATAACCCTCTCCACGTCGATTCCACTCATTCTTTAATTAAAGGAAAGATCCAATTGTTTGCAGTAACAATGAAAACAAGTCAAAACACAATTTTCCCCTTTTGCTATTTTTTAGTGAACCCTCAGACATCTGAAAAAATTCAAGAATGTTTGGTGAAATTCTGTGAGTTTGCGCACCTGGATCCACAGCATTGGAGCGCTGACTGTGCGCTAAACATTGCTCGCGCAATTGAGGACGGATTTCCTCTTGCGCAGCTCAGTTGGTGCGCTGTGCATGTTTTACGCGCATGTGCAAAAGTTGGAAGCTATTTTGACAATCCACAGAATTTTGAGAACTTCTATTTAGCAATGGACTTTTTGACATTACGTGCAGATGCAACGAATGCAGAAAAGCTGGCTGAAGAGTCTGATGAAACATATGAGTTCTTGACAACAATGTTAGAAGAAGAAGAACCGCGCGCTTTGAAGTATTTCGATAAACAATGGAGAAGAACCAAAGAACATTGGATGATGTTATATCGTGGAGAAGGTGATTCCACGAATAACATTGCGGAATCACACTTTCATCAATTAAAGCAAACATTTTTCTTGGGTAAGAAAAATGAGCGCATTGATGACATCGTCATAACTCTCATCACTGTTGTGATTCCAAATGCGATTATTAAGGTTCAAGTCGCTAATGTTTTGAATGAAGAAAGAGCAGTAAGAATTCTTACAAGGGCAGGTAATCAGATTGTTGAGCAAAGAGCTTCAAAACACGATGAATGTTTGAAATTAATTCAACACATTTTGGAAATTGTCGAAAGCCGAAGGATTGAACCTAATGTCCTTATTCCATCTTTGAAGGCAATATTAAATTTGGCACAAAGAAGTTTAAAGGAAGAGTAAGCAAGATTAGATAATTTGGACTTTTTTTAAAATTAATGAATAAACAGTATATTTTTGAAGTGTAAGCTTATTTACCTGAAGCTATATTACTTAATATAACATTCAAAGTATTATTGCTATTTATTGGAGAACAAATTTATGTAATTTTCACATGAAAATTGATAAATTTGTATTTCCTTATGATAATCAATTTTTGTATTTGTAGAGAGTCTCCCTGCATGATATCAAGACTTGGCTATTAGTCTTTATCCATTTTTGAAAATTGTATTGTAAATTGTAAGAATTTCTGAATACTACTACTATAAAATATAATTGCTTATCTATGTATATTCTCCCTGCATGATATCAAGACTTGGCTATAGTCTTTATCCATTTTTGAAAATTGTATTGTAAATTGTAAGAATTTCTGAATACTACTACTATAAAATATAATTGCTTATCTATGTATATTCTCCCTGCATGATATCAAGACTTGGCTATAAGTCTTTATCCATTTTTGAAAATTGTATTGTAAATTGTAAGAATTTCTGAATACTACTACTATAAAATATAATTGCTTATCTATGTATATTCTCCCTGCATGATATCAAGACTTGGCTATTAGTCTTTATCCATTTTTGAAAATTGTATTGTAAATTGTAAGAATTTCTGAATACTACTACTATAAAATATAATTGCTTATCTATGTATATTCTCCCTGCATGATATCAAGACTTGGCTATTAGTCTTTATCCATTTTTGAAAATTGTATTGTAAATTGTAAGAATTTCTGAATACTACTACTATAAAATATAATTGCTTATCTATGTATATTCTCCCTGCATGATATCAAGACTTGGCTAAGTCTTTATCCATTTTTGAAAATTGTATTGTAAATTGTAAGAATTTCTGAATACTACTACTATAAAATATAATTGCTTATCTATGTATATTCTCCCTGCATGATATCAAGACTTGGCTATTAGTCTTTATCCATTTTTGAAAATTGTATTGTAAATTGTAAGAATTTCTGAATACTACTACTATAAAATATAATTGCTTATCTATGTATATTCTCCCTGCATGATATCAAGACTTGGCTAAGTCTTTATCCATTTTTGAAAATTGTATTGTAAATTGTAAGAATTTCTGAATACTACTACTATAAAATATAATTGCTTATCTATGTATATTCTCCCTGCATGATATCAAGACTTGGCTATTAGTCTTTATCCATTTTTGAAAATTGTATTGTAAATTGTAAGAATTTCTGAATACTACTACTATAAAATATAATTGCTTATCTATGTATATTCTCCCTGCATGATATCAAGACTTGGCTATTAGTCTTTATCCATTTTTGAAAATTGTATTGTAAATTGTAAGAATTTCTGAATACTACTACTATAAAATATAATTGCTTATCTATGTATATTCTCCCTGCATGATATCAAGACTTGGCTAAGTCTTTATCCATTTTTGAAAATTGTATTGTAAATTGTAAGAATTTCTGAATACTACTACTATAAAATATAATTGCTTATCTATGTATATTCTCCCTGCATGATATCAAGACTTGGCTATAGTCTTTATCCATTTTTGAAAATTGTATTGTAAATTGTAAGAATTTCTGAATACTACTACTATAAAATATAATTGCTTATCTATGTATATTCTCCCTGCATGATATCAAGACTTGGCTATTAGTCTTTATCCATTTTTGAAAATTGTATTGTAAATTGTAAGAATTTCTGAATACTACTACTATAAAATATAATTGCTTATCTATGTATATTCTCCCTGCATGATATCAAGACTTGGCTAAGTCTTTATCCATTTTTGAAAATTGTATTGTAAATTGTAAGAATTTCTGAATACTACTACTATAAAATATAATTGCTTATCTATGTATATTCTCCCTGCATGATATCAAGACTTGGCTATTAGTCTTTATCCATTTTTGAAAATTGTATTGTAAATTGTAAGAATTTCTGAATACTACTACTATAAAATATAATTGCTTATCTATGTATATTCTCCCTGCATGATATCAAGACTTGGCTATTAGTCTTTATCCATTTTTGAAAATTGTATTGTAAATTGTAAGAATTTCTGAATACTACTACTATAAAATATAATTGCTTATCTATGTATATTCTCCCTGCATGATATCAAGACTTGGCTATTAGTCTTTATCCATTTTTGAAAATTGTATTGTAAATTGTAAGAATTTCTGAATACTACTACTATAAAATATAATTGCTTATCTATGTATATTCTCCCTGCATGATATCAAGACTTGGCTATTAGTCTTTATCCATTTTTGAAAATTGTATTGTAAATTGTAAGAATTTCTGAATACTACTACTATAAAATATAATTGCTTATCTATGTATATTCTCCCTGCATGATATCAAGACTTGGCTATTAGTCTTTATCCATTTTTGAAAATTGTATTGTAAATTGTAAGAATTTCTGAATACTACTACTATAAAATATAATTGCTTATCTATGTATATTCTCCCTGCATGATATCAAGACTTGGCTATTAGTCTTTATCCATTTTTGAAAATTGTATTGTAAATTGTAAGAATTTCTGAATACTACTACTATAAAATATAATTGCTTATCTATGTATATTCTCCCTGCATGATATCAAGACTTGGCTATTAGTCTTTATCCATTTTTGAAAATTGTATTGTAAATTGTAAGAATTTCTGAATACTACTACTATAAAATATAATTGCTTATCTATGTATATTCTCCCTGCATGATATCAAGACTTGGCTATAGTCTTTATCCATTTTTGAAAATTGTATTGTAAATTGTAAGAATTTCTGAATACTACTACTAAAAATATAATTGCTTATCTATGTATATTCTCCCTGCATGATATCAAGACTTGGCTATTAGTCTTTATCCATTTTTGAAAATTGTATTGTAAATTGTAAGAATTTCTGAATACTACTACTATAAAATATAATTGCTTATCTATGTATATTCTCCCTGCATGATATCAAGACTTGGCTATTAGTCTTTATCCATTTTTGAAAATTGTATTGTAAATTGTAAGAATTTCTGAATACTACTACTATAAAATATAATTGCTTATCTATGTATATTCTCCCTGCATGATATCAAGACTTGGCTATTAGTCTTTATCCATTTTTGAAAATTGTATTGTAAATTGTAAGAATTTCTGAATACTACTACTATAAAATATAATTGCTTATCTATGTATATTCTCCCTGCATGATATCAAGACTTGGCTATTAGTCTTTATCCATTTTTGAAAATTGTATTGTAAATTGTAAGAATTTCTGAATACTACTACTATAAAATATAATTGCTTATCTATGTATATTCTCCCTGCATGATATCAAGACTTGGCTATTAGTCTTTATCCATTTTTGAAAATTGTATTGTAAATTGTAAGAATTTCTGAATACTACTACTATAAAATATAATTGCTTATCTATGTATATTCTCCCTGCATGATATCAAGACTTGGCTATTAGTCTTTATCCATTTTTGAAAATTGTATTGTAAATTGTAAGAATTTCTGAATACTACTACTATAAAATATAATTGCTTATCTATGTATATTCTCCCTGCATGATATCAAGACTTGGCTATTAGTCTTTATCCATTTTTGAAAATTGTATTGTAAATTGTAAGAATTTCTGAATACTACTACTATAAAATATAATTGCTTATCTATGTATATTCTCCCTGCATGATATCAAGACTTGGCTATTAGTCTTTATCCATTTTTGAAAATTGTATTGTAAATTGTAAGAATTTCTGAATACTACTACTATAAAATATAATTGCTTATCTATGTATATTCTCCCTGCATGATATCAAGACTTGGCTAAGTCTTTATCCATTTTTGAAAATTGTATTGTAAATTGTAAGAATTTCTGAATACTACTACTATAAAATATAATTGCTTATCTATGTATATTCTCCCTGCATGATATCAAGACTTGGCTATTAGTCTTTATCCATTTTTGAAAATTGTATTGTAAATTGTAAGAATTTCTGAATACTACTACTATAAAATATAATTGCTTATCTATGTATATTCTCCCTGCATGATATCAAGACTTGGCTATAGTCTTTATCCATTTTTGAAAATTGTATTGTAAATTGTAAGAATTTCTGAATACTACTACTATAAAATATAATTGCTTATCTATGTATATTCTCCCTGCATGATATCAAGACTTGGCTATAGTCTTTATCCATTTTTGAAAATTGTATTGTAAATTGTAAGAATTTCTGAATACTACTACTATAAAATATAATTGCTTATCTATGTATATTCTCCCTGCATGATATCAAGACTTGGCTATTAGTCTTTATCCATTTTTGAAAATTGTATTGTAAATTGTAAGAATTTCTGAATACTACTACTATAAAATATAATTGCTTATCTATGTATATTCTCCCTGCATGATATCAAGACTTGGCTATTAGTCTTTATCCATTTTTGAAAATTGTATTGTAAATTGTAAGAATTTCTGAATACTACTACTATAAAATATAATTGCTTATCTATGTATATTCTCCCTGCATGATATCAAGACTTGGCTAGTCTTTATCCATTTTTGAAAATTGTATTGTAAATTGTAAGAATTTCTGAATACTACTACTATAAAATATAATTGCTTATCTATGTATATTCTCCCTGCATGATATCAAGACTTGGCTATTAGTCTTTATCCATTTTTGAAAATTGTATTGTAAATTGTAAGAATTTCTGAATACTACTACTATAAAATATAATTGCTTATCTATGTATATTCTCCCTGCATGATATCAAGACTTGGCTATTAGTCTTTATCCATTTTTGAAAATTGTATTGTAAATTGTAAGAATTTCTGAATACTACTACTATAAAATATAATTGCTTATCTATGTATATTCTCCCTGCATGATATCAAGACTTGGCTATAAGTCTTTATCCATTTTTGAAAATTGTATTGTAAATTGTAAGAATTTCTGAATACTACTACTATAAAATATAATTGCTTATCTATGTATATTCTCCCTGCATGATATCAAGACTTGGCTATAAGTCTTTATCCATTTTTGAAAATTGTATTGTAAATTGTAAGAATTTCTGAATACTACTACTATAAAATATAATTGCTTATCTATGTATATTCTCCCTGCATGATATCAAGACTTGGCTATAAATCTCTATTCATTATGAGTATGACCCCATTTTTTTACAAAAAGTGCCGAATTGCAACTTTGTCCCAATCTCTTTTCTGTTTACGGTAGATGAAATTTTTTTTTACAATCCGAATTACATTAAGAGATTGTTGGGCATAAAATGAGTGTGCCCCGTGTATAGTATGTTTCTAAATTTAGATAAATGAAATTTGGCTAAATACTGATTTGAACAAATCTTGAGCAATAAGAGAGAATCTATATACAATCACCTATGAAAGATATATAGTTTTTAATGTACGAAATGACTATAAACATTAAATTAATTTCTAAAAATTAATAATTGCAAATATTTTAAGTGAAAAGAACATATTAAACAATGAAAAAACAAGTAGGTAAAAATAATGAACAATTACATAAATAGTATTTAATAAACAAAATAAAAATTATATAAAATTATTTGGAGTTAAGGAAGCCAGATACAGATCCTTCTATCCAATGCTCTGGTCTTGCCTTTGTAGCAAGGAATAGTGAGAAAACGTATCCTGGGCTGTCGATTGACTGGCTTCCGCGTTGTTGTGTCCTGAAAACAGGGCATTCGTAAGTAACTTCCATTTTATAAGGTAATGGAAGCTGTGCAGGTTTAATGTGGATAACAGGTAAACTGTTCTTCTTATCAGCAGTTCCACACTCTGCAAGCTGGTCTTTTGCGAAATCCCAACGAGCTCCTTCGATGAAGATTCCATCGATGTAAATTCCTTCTTCGGGTGGATCTGTCATTCTTTGTTGTTGTGCAATGTCCAAAGGAGTTGTCATCCAGCCAAGTGATTGCAATGGAACATTGTGAGTATGTGCATACTTCTGGAGCAAAGCCATGAGGAACTCTTCCGGTCTGAAGAAAGCTCCAATCTTGTAAACCAATGGACTTCCATTTCTTATCCAGTTATCAATGAAGAAAACTCTGTTTCTTAAATCATTGATGTAATCATTTAAGTTCGAGATACTTGGGAATGAAACATTCAGCCATCTCTCTGGAACTCTGTTAAGTAAGATACTCTTGAGAATTACTTCATAAGCATCATCCAAAAGAATTGTTCCGTTCAATGCATCTTTGAGAATTGAAAGATTTCTGTTGATTGTTTCGATCAAAATTGTGAACTTTGAGACTTCATGAGAAATAACAGCTTCAATTGTTTGATCTTCTGCTTCTATTCTCTTCTTTACAGCTGTTTCGTTGAACAATGGAGGAATCTGTGAAGAGATTTCAGTGATTCTCTGCAATCTTGAATCATTTTGTTTAACAACATTAATTGCTGTTGTTACAGGTTGAAGTTCAAGAAGATTGTTGAAAAGCTTCGTCGCTCTTCTCTTTTTTGTGACTTGAACTGCATTGTTACTAAGTCCAACAAGCGGTCCATCTGCTTCATCCTTCCAATCTGTAATTGCAGCAATTGTTTGCTTCAAACTTGATGTGAAAGGAGGAATCTTCAATTGTTCGCAGAGCTGGTAATTTGTTGCAGTTATTCCTTCATTGAAATACTTGTTTGCAAGGCAATCAAGTGTTCTTCTATCCCATTCATCTGTTACAGAGCCTCCGTAGTTCATTTCGCTCAACAAGAAAACGAAATGTTCCAAAGGCAAAGTAGCTGTTCTTGTCTCCGACATCAATGTTTGTAACTGATGCTTGGAAATTGCGAAATCAGAGAAAGAGAAACTATAAGGATTATTCCAACCAAGAGATCCGAATTGTAGTCTTTCAACTACAACTGAATGGAAGAAACAAAGATGGAATAATAATTGTTTTGCAACAGTATGATCTCCACTTGTTGTGTATTCAGCCTCATTCAGAGAGTTGAACAATCTAAGCATGTTGTTCTTGAATCCTGAAGCTGTTTCGTAGATGACTTTCTGTGACATGAACAATAAACCAATTGGGAAATTAGGAACACTTGAAGTAACGCAAAGTAATCTGAAGTTTGGATGCAAATTCTTCTTTTGTATTGTTGAAAGAACGAATTCAACTCTTGGCATCCAACTCAATGACAAATGACAGTTCTGCAACAACAGAATGTATCCTTCTAATGCACACTTCTGTATCAAAGCTTCAGCAGCTGGTCCACGACCTCTTCCGAGTGAGTAATACTTGAGATATCTCGTTGAATCCATTGCTTCCAAAGCATTTTGGATATCTTCTGTTGGATCAGTTCCTGGAGATGCGACGAAGATAATTGGTTCTTGAGAATTAGCGTCTTTGAGGATAGACTGCATTGATGAAATAGGAACACTGGATATCTCTAATCCGAGAACATCTGTAACGAATTTTGTCAAAACTGCTTGTGTTCTGTCCAATCTAAGGTATTTCAACAGAATTGTTCTCTGGAAAGGAGTTAATTGTTCTTTAGTTGGGAATTGTTCCTTTTCTGGTTGTGGCAAGTTGCAGTACCTCTCCCATGCGAACTCGTTTGCTCTGATTGAGCCAATTATTCCTTTAAATGCTTGGTTTACGTTTTCAAGAGCTCTCAAATATCCCCATCTATCATCTGTCATCCATTTGATTGGGGATTTCTCAATGACAGGAGCCAAAGCAAGCAAAGCAGAGATCTCTTCAGGAGTTATCTTGTTGTCTGCTTCTAGAACTCTTATTGCTGCCAAAGTTGAATACAAAAGTTTGTGTCTGTTGAACAAACTCAAAGAAATTCTTGTGAAAACAGTTCTTTGAATTGCTCTTGTGAAAGCATGTATTTGTTGGAGATGATCACTTGGATGGTTTGCTTTGGAAAGAGCATCTCTAAATGTCTTATCGAACCACTTAAGAGAGAATTGATACATTGGATCAATCTTGCAGAAATCTGCTGCACAGAAATACAATATTGTTGCTCTTTCAACAACAGGCAAATAGTGTTTCTTGAACTGAGAAATTTGTTGTTCTGTCTTTTCTGATGCTGATATCTGCAAGGTAATATTCTGTGCTGTCTTCTTTGCAACACTTAGTGTTTCTATCGCAGAATCATCTGCCAAAATATCTTTTCCTTCTGAATCTGAAACAATTTTGAGAATTTCAAGTTCGGTTTCATTGAGTTTTGCGATGTTTTCTGCATTTGATTCCATGAGTTGGATTCTCTTCTTATCCAAATCCGATTTCTCAACTTCAATCATTGTGTTCAAGAGCAAATCAGTCAATCCGTCTCTTGTCGCTCTGAAGTTAATCAACAAACAAGTTGAACAAACTTCTGGAGAGAATTGTGGTGATGGATTTTGTGTCGTCAAATACAATCTGAAGTTTGTATTGTATGAGATTATATCTCCACCCAGAACAATCTGTTTCTTGTTGTCAACAGTTGCGATTTCTCTGTTGAGAATAGGAGCAATTGAAGGATCCAATTCTGTAGCAACATTTTCAATGATTACTTGTTGTCCTTGAGAAACAGCGGCGCAAAGAGATTGCATGAAATCTGGCTGGTCAACTCTCAAAACTCTCAAGTTTTCTCTGTAGTTTTCACGCAACCATTTCAAACCTGAATTCTGTGGATCAATCAAAAGAGGAATTGAAACATCATTTTCTGTGATGATCAATGCGTTTTCAATTGATTGCTGGTCATTAGGAAGTCCTTTAATAATCCAATCTCTTATTGTTATGTCTGTTCCAAGTGCATCAACAATAGAGAAGTCTTCTGAGTATTTGATAGCGTGTTTAGACAAAAATTCTTTCCATTTCTGGACTAATTTCGCTCTGTAGGAAGGAGAGAAAGCTCCAAGATAAACCAAAATGGCTGAAATCAATATTGTATCACCTAAAATGAATTTAGCGCCATTTCTAAGTTTAGTTGCTTTCTCATCCCATCTTGTACTTTCATTTGTAAGTCCTGAAACTAATTTTCTTGCTCTTGCAAGTCTTGCTTCTGTATCTTTAACAGTATTTGTAAGTTCTTTCTCTTGCAATTGAGTATCAGATAATTTCGTCTGCATATCCTTCAAGTGGGCTTCGATTTCTTCCAAATGATCTCTGCTTTCTGTTAATTGTGCGTTAGTTTCTTGTAACAATCTTTCTGCTTCTTCAGCCATCTTTTGTTTTGGTAAAATTTCTTGGTAAACATGCCAGTAATCAAATGAAGCACAAACCCATTCATACAAAGCAGCAACAGCTTGGAAAGATGCATTTGCTGCTCGAAGTTTCTCCATTCTCGCCGGTTTCTCTTTAGGAACATATTTCTTCAATTTGTTTATTTGGTCTTGAGTCAATCTTTCCACCTTGAAATTAGTTACGTTTTTAACAAATTGAACATCATTAAGCAAAGCAATTGTCTCTGGCCAATAGTCATCTTCACGTAATCCTGTTGACGGGTTATCAACCTTTTTTGGATTTCTGTTGAACATGATACAAATTGCATCAAATGTATCTCTCATTCCTGTTGAAGGAGCATGTAATTTCTTGATAGAAACCAAAGAATCTTTGTCGAGTTTCATGACAGCAGCTTGTGCATCAGATAACAAAGGTTGTGCAAGTTTGAGTTGTTCCTGAGCAATTTTGTTTGCTTTGTTTGCTTCGGAAGCATTCTTTTCTGCAACTAAACTTTGTTGTTTGACAACTTCTCGGCTCTTCTCAGCTTCATCCTTTGAAATTGTTAATTCTTGGACGAGCTTTTCCATGTCTTTACTCATTCTATCTAATTCAGGAATGTCGTGGTCGTGTTTTTCTGTCATTTCACCAATCATTTGTCCAGTTAATTTGATCTTGGAGACACCATTTTCGTAATCTCTTGCTTTCTCAGCATTTTCTCTTTGTTTGATTTTGAGTTTCTTATGGAAAATCTTCAACAAGAAGAAGTACAAAGAGGGAGTAATAGAAACAACTTGTCCTGTTTCTTCAATGAAGTTTCTTGCTTCTTGTTCAACACATTTATGGATTTCGACACAAGTAGAAACAACAGAATGAACAACATCAGGAGAACCAACAGAGTTAGATCCCAAAGAATCTTGTGCAATTGTTTCAAGAGCTGAATCAGACCATGGAATGATCCAATCAACAATGCATTCATTTCTTATTACTTGGAAAGACAACATGATGTCATGGAAGACTTTTCCAAATGGAGAAACAATCAAAAAGATATGTAAGTTGTTGCAAACTCTTCTTCTCATTAATTCATGATAATCACAATCAACAGCAACTTCTGTTGCAGCAATTTCACTCTTTAATATCTCGAATTCATCACGTTCGTAAAGACGAGGAATTTCTCCATATAACATCAGATTTTCTAAGTCTTCTAATTGTTCTCTCATCAGTATTTGTGCATCTGTTATAATGAATCCTGTAACTTCATCGTGTGTACAACATTTCTTGATCAATCTCTTCATGTCTTCGTGCCATTCACTAAGTCCATATCCTTTTGTAACTGAAATAGAGAATTGGTCGATATTTTCAATATGAAGCATTAATTTTGTTAATGATCTTCTCCAAGATCCTTTCATTCCAACAAGTAAACAATGTCCTCTTACTAAAGTTGTTGCTCTTGATAAAGCTGAAATGTGTTCAACAGCTTCGTGGAACAAAGTCATGTTTAATTGTTGGCTTGCTGATCTGTTGTGTTCTTCCAACATCGAAGCACAATAAGCCAAGACTTGGTCTGGTTTCTGTTTGACTTCTTTGTAAATTTGTGTCGCATCTGAGAAATTGTTGAACATCAAGAAGTTCTGGCCATTGATAGCACTGTATTGGATCTTGAAGTGTTTCAAGCATGATTCAACAACGTTTTTATTGAACCATTCTCTATCATCTGTTGTATTCAATCTATCATAGATTTCTCTATACATTTCATGATAGAATAATCTGATGAAATCAACATCATTCTTGATATTCATTGTTCCAACGAGTAATATTCCTTTGAGGATTCTCATGATTGTTCTCAGATTGAAGTTATAATGTGGTTTGGAAGGAATAGGAAGCATTTGATCATGGCATTGATCAACAATTTCTGTAACACATGCAACAACATTCTTTGTGATGTCGTGAACTGATTGAATGAATTTGGACAAGTTCTTCTGATACATTGTCAAAACAATTGATTGGATTGTTGGTTTGGTATATTTCGGCTGGTAAATGTAGAAGAAATTGCGAATAAATCTTGGTGAAATTGCATATCTTCCACTGCCTTTCATTTGTGTGGAAATTAACAAAGTGTAACCAATTAATTCACTGAACTCTGATGTGTAATGCCAACCTCCATAAGTCACAAGTTCTCTCATGAGTTCAATGGCAGGTTGTGTCAAGAATCCATCAGGTTCTATTGATGCCAAATTATCAATGAAGAAAACAAGTTTATCGCCAGGTAAAGGACCATAAATTCCTTGTTGTTTATGCATGTATTGTGATGTGAAATCCATAAACATCTTCGGAGTTGTTATGGCAGAACAATCGAATTTACCTGTGATATAAGGTTGTTTGTTGAAGAACTTTGTTTGAAGTGTATTCATTATCAGAGATTTGCCTGATTCTGGGCCTTGTATCAAAGTGTTTTTGTAGTTCGCAACAAGTAACCTCGAAAGGAAAAATGTTGATGCAATTTCGTTTGTTGGAACAACTTGGTGATCTAAGTTTTCTTGGTCAGTAAAGTTCATGTTTGTGACATTATCCAACCATGGAATCCATGAATATTTCGTGAGATCAGCGAAATAATCAAAGACAGATCCACGTTGTGGATAAATACATCTTGAATTGTTTGTTTCGGCAATGTTTCTGACGAAATGATCGAAAGCATTTCTTCCATCTTCATCCAAGAAACTTCCGAAAGCCCATGTCATGCAGAACTGGAATATTCTCTCAAAGATGATTTCTCTGTTGTCAACTTCTATGTAAGGAATTCTTTCACTTGTTGACATTGTAAAATGTGAATAATAAATGTTAGAATCAATTCTATCTCTGTTTCCTGATGGTAAATCGTCATCATCCATATCATCTTTCGCTGGTTTAGATAACAATGGCATGAAGCAATCGAGTAACTTCAAAAAGTTCGAAACAGCAATGTTAGGAGTGATTCTAATAACTGTTTTCACATCAGTTGATATGAATTGGACATAGGAATTCATGTAAATTTCTGCTTGTGATTTGATTATTTTGATAACATCTGGAAACTGGTCGTGTTTGTTGCACCATCCATCAATTAAATCTTGCCATTTGATGGAGACTTGATCGAAATAAATCAAACCACAACGAGAAACAGTTGCTGGTGTTGCATTGATCAAATTATCAACTTCAAACAACATCTTTGTTTTTGAATCCAAAGGAATTCTTTCGTTGTTTGGAAGACACAATAATTTGTTATCATCCAACAAAGTATTCATTGATTCAATCCAAACAGCATCAATTGGACCATCAGCGATGATTAAATGAGGCTGTTTTCTTTCAGCAAACCAGCAGTTTCTCAATAATCTAGATACAATACCATCCTTCCATTCTGAGGTTGCTGGATTGTATAAACCATACATCTCTGTAATAGAAACTGATTTCGGATTCAAACAATCAATTAAAATTGGATTTGGATCATCTTCGAAAGCTTTTTGAAGAACTTTCCATGAGGTTGATTTTCCACTCAATGTTCCACCAACTAAGATCAAGCCATGTCTTACTTGTAATATGTAATACAACTCGTAGATCTTGTTGATGAGTTTCTCGTTCTTTGAAAGATTCATCTTTTCCATTGCGCCTTCAACTTTCTTGATGAAATCTTCAGGAGCTGTTGATTCATCCTTAATGTTCGGGAAAACATCTCTTAAAATATTGTTAAAGATAGGGGTATCATCAGCAAGTAATCTTGGTAATGTGCAATCTTTGATAGCTCTTAAAATGATTGTTTCTTTATCTTCTTCTGTTTCTGCTCCTTTCTTGTGCAATTCGTTGATTCCTGTTGTTAAAATTGCCTTCATTTGTCTCAATCCCCAATCATATTGATTTGATTTGTTCAACATAAGCTTTCCGAGTTTGAAAACAGCTGTTACTTCCTTGGAAATCTTGTTAGCTGCATCAAAGCCTCCAGAAAGCAAAATAATCTCCGAAATGTGTTGATAATCAGGTTCAATCATAACAATTGTTCTAAACAACAATTTAATGTTGTCAGGGAGTTGAGAACGACCTGCATAACCTGGATTTAATGTGATTGTTATACCCAAGTTCCTGTTGATTGTTATTTCTCTTGTATCTAACAGGAATGTGTCATCAACAGCTGCCATTGCGTTTTGTATTGTCTTGATTTGTTGACCAATAATTGACAAAACTTCAATGTTAATTCTGTTGAATTCATCGAAACATGCCCAAGCACCTGACCCACTAATTCCTGCCAAGAACTGTGACATGATTTCAGGACCAACTTCTTCTGAACAGTTATAGACAATGCATGGTCTTCCAAGTGCTTTCGCAAGGTTTCTGATTGTCTCTGTTTTTCCTGTACCTGCAGGACCAATTGGAGAAGCTCCCAAGAACATTTTCATTGCAGAAAGCATTGTTTGGTAACATCTATCTGTTAAAGGAGTTAATACTAATCGTGGTGAATTGCCAACGTATTCATAAGTGTATTCAAATGAGTTATTCAATGATTTAACAATGATCAAGTCATCTTCTGAATAATATCTCAATTGTTGGATCCAAAGGAATGCATCGACATCATTGATTTCATTATCAATAAGTTCTTCAAGTTTATCTCTGTTATGTACTTCTGATGTAAGTATTGAACTCAATAAAATGCGTTCTTGTGGTGTATGTTCTTCTTTTACAAATTTTGACAAAGTTTGGAAGTTTTCTTTGAATTTTGGAAGAACTAAATTCAAACCTTTAAATCTGTGTTGTTTAAGTGCATTGGTTATTGATTGTGTGAACAAGATCTGGTTGACAACCATAATAACTTGTGCAGGATAATCCAAGATCCACTGTTCTCTTGGTTTCTTTGAATAATTGGAAATTGCTGCCTTCATTTGATCTTTGAGTGTTACATGGATTTCATCATCAAGATAATTGAGCCAATCTTCGATTTCTTTGTTCATTGTATCAACTTGTTGAACGAGTTTAAGTGATTCACCTGTAGAATCATTGATTTCTAAGATTGCGTTTTCATTCGTTCTCTTAAATCCATGAACATATTCGAAGATTTTTGGCATGGAATCCTGGATTTTGTCGAATTCAGCTGTATGTGACAAAATGTAAACCAATTCATCGTTTGATATGAAGAAGAATCTTGGAAATGCAACTCGCTTTTGCTCTAAGAATTGTGTCAATCCTAAAACAACCTTTTCGAGTTTTGTTGAGCATTCGACGAGTTGTTCCATTAATTCATCTCTTTGCATTATTGTGTAAAAGTTTGGATGGTTATGAGCCATTGTCATGATTTTAGACCAAATTGTGTTGCATATTGCCCAATAACTTGCCTCTGTTTTTAGTTTCTGTCCTATAGATGTTCCTGCAAAGATTGGTTGTAGATATAACCATGCTGTTTGGCATTTCATCCATGCTTCAATCATTGCACGAGATTTTCTCAAGAAAGCAATTCTTTCATTCGCTTGATCTTTAACTTGTGTTATGAAAGGACTTGCAAGCATTGATTGCGTAGCAACTAATTGGTCATCAATCAACATCAACAAATCATCAACTTGTTGTAAAATGAAATGACCAGAATTTCTGAATTGAACAGTAACAAATTGTGTTGTTCTAAGTTCAGCATCCATTTTATCAAGAGCTGCTTCGATGTTGTATTCTTGGGCAGCAACATTAGCAATATCTGATATCTGTGCATCCCATTCTTCCAACTTGTACTGCAAGAAAGTACTCAACGATGTTTCGACAGTTGGTTTGACTTCGAAACCAGTAATTTGCGAAATCTTGTCCCAATGCTGTCTTTTGATGCCTTGGTGTCTGAGTTTTGTGATTAATGGTAATCTCTTCTTGAAGCCTTCTATTTGCTGTATCAAAGGAGCAACAACTCTTGTCAATAAGACAGGTTGATTTGTCAATTCTTTCTTTAGTTTTGACAATTGTTTTGACGCGTGATTAACAAACAAAGTTATTTGGTCGGCTCTTATTTGATGGAAAGGAGTATCCAACCAACTTTGATAGTTCATGACCCAGTCATTAGCAATATTCCATAGCTGATGCAATGGTGTGAATTCGTCACCTAACTTGATTAATATTCTGCAAGCATTTGGTTCGAATTCGAATAGTTTTTCATGTTTGTTGTAAGTTTGTTGCAATTCCTGGAGATGTTTCAATTGGAATGAAATTGCATTGATCTTTTCAACAGCTTCTGATGTATATTCTAAATCATTGTATTTAGCAATGAATGTTGTTAATGTTTCTGATATTGCCAATGCATCGTTTTCAAGCTGTTTCTGGTTATTCTTCAATTCTTTAATCATCTTAATTCTTGCTTCTGTTATCATTTTCTCTGTTTCATCAATTCTTTGGTTAGTTACAACAGGCATATTATAAGCTTTATAAATGTAATGGAAATCAGAATCACTTGTTTCAAATCTGTAGTCTTCCAAGAATTGGAATTCATTCTTTATCCTTTCAATTTTATATTGTCTTGTCTTTTTATTTTCAATAACTGTGTTCAAATATTTTCTTAGTTCTGCGAGTTCTTCAGGAGTATTTGGAGATTTTTGGAGTTCAACTTTGATTGATGTAAACTCGTTGTTTAATGAATTAACAGTTTGTATCATGTACTTGTTAATCAAAGACAAATAAGACTTCTGGAGATTCTCCAAATGATTAATTGTCATTTGTTTGAAAGAAGCAGTCATTACTCTGAAAATTCCAGCATTATAATATGGTTTCATTTTCTTTTTAAGATCAGCAATTCTGTCTTTGAAATCATCAAGATGTACTTTGTATTCTTCAAGTGTTCTCGTATGTGATGGATCGAAATCATATGCGTAATCATCGGGATCTAATGATAAATACTTCTCAAGATATCTGTAACTGTTAATAAACTCATTTAACTGAGAAAACAAACCTTTCAACATTTCAATCAATGATGATTTGGCTTCAGCGATACTGTCCAAACAATCAATGAATTTGATCTTTAATGGTTCGCCTTTCATCGATGTAAATAAAGGTAATTCGGTAATTGTTGTTTCAACTTGAGCTAGTAATGACATTACTTGGTCTTGGAATGTTTCCGGTGTTGGCATGAACTCTAGTTTGTTGTCAGGAGCATAATATAAATCAATAAAGAACAAAGCATGGTAATCTCTATCTGTTACATCTTTTGGTTTAAATAATTCAAGATATCTCGTTAATGTATTCGATGTTATATCTAATAACATGGTGTGCATCATGCGCTGAGTTACACCAACCATAAGAGAATTGCGTCGATTGATCTCTTGTTTGTCAATTTTTGGTTTTTCTTCTTTATTTTTATCGTCTTTTGATTTTTCATCGACACTTTTCTGATCTAATGGTTTTTCTATCTTTGCGAAGACGTCTTTCAGGCGTTTCTCTATTGCTGTACGAATTTCAACTGACTGGGAGCCAAGAAATGTATATTGGCGAGTAATAAAATCTTCTAATGCTAATACTTTGTTGAAATTATCGAGAATAAGGCTTCTTGAACGTGAAACTTGGAATATATCCCATATAGAGAACAATCCGTTCATTATAACTGCATCACCATATAATAAATTATCTTTGATATACTGTTGTGCCTTTGCAAACGATGAAATTGTTGTAACGAGACCAGATTCTGGTACTTTTGGTGGTTCTTCTTCAAGTAACATGAATTCTTCACGATTTGGAACTAAAGGATTATGATTAATTTCATTAATAAAATTAAGCTTGTTATTTAACAGTTTAAAGTCAGGTTTGATCTGTTCTTCGATAATTGAATTTCCTTTGTCTTGAATATCCGTTGATAGACGTTTAAGAATTCCATCAACTGCATTTTGCGGTAAATCTGGTAATTCTTTCGTTGGCATTAAAGAAACACGAGTATTAAACCTAATAGTTGCTTCGTAAATTGTACAAGCGTGTCTAGCGACTTTTACACGTTCTTCAAATTTATCAGGATCTTCACGAAGGAATCTGATGTTAAAACGAGGAACTTTCTTTTCCTTAACCTTTCCTTTTTCTTTTGGTTCCCATTGTATTGTAAATAATTGAGTTTCTTCATTAAAATCTATAACTTTGCAAGGTAACCATTTAGTTTGTCCATTGAAATCAGTAAATTTCGATACAGCTCGAGGATCTTTCATTAATTCAGGTATATCAAATTGTGCACATGATAAATCATCGAAGTATTCAAGAGGCAAAAATTTGGTATCAGTTATTGAATCTGGATCTTGTAAAGGAGGAAGTGGTTCTGCCGGCGAGACAAACTTAGATCGAAGAATTTCTTGCAAATTTGTAGTTGTTTTTCCTTCAGGAAAATCAATTTTTGGTTCTGGCATGACTTTTGCAGGCGAATTCATATTTGGTGTTTGTATTTTAAATGTATGTGTTGATCTTAAACTCATTGATGATACTAAATTACGCTTTTCTTTCTCTCTTTGTGAAGGCTGATACGTTTCAGGCGTCTGCGCTTGAGATGGATATGAAATTCTTGGTTGTTTAAGTTGCGATTGTGCTGTAAGATGTTCTATAAGTCGAGGATCTTTTGCTTCAACTTTCGGATTTAAACTCCATTCACCAATAACTGGAGTTTTAATGGTTTCTTCCGGTATAGTCTTCTTAAGACTCTTGTTTAAAATCTTTTCTTCGTTCATTTTCTCTTCTCTTTCAATGAGGCGAGATTTTCCTCGCTGAAATCTCCCTCTCGCGAACATTGTAAAACACGTTTTTTTATAAAAAATCTTGATACATTTAGGATATGCTAAAATTGCATGTGAAATAATTATACCTGTTATAATGTAACAATAAAAATTATACCAATTTGCTCAAAAATGCTAATTCAATCATAATTTCTATATCATGTTGTATTTCCGACCTGCATAAACCCTAGATTTATCGAAATTTTGATTGTTTACCCAAGTGTTATAATATTATAATCAGCATACATCAATAAATTCAAAACTTTGAAAAAAAGGCCAAATTTCTTTCTCATTCAGGGTGTGAATATCTTTTTCATTCCATTGAGTATTTGATTTAGTTGTAATCACAATTACAATAAACATAATTCATTTTAAAATAAAATGAGATTTATGTCTAAATCTATTAGGAGAAACTTGCATTTTGCGAAATATATATATACGGAAAACAAAATTCATGTAGCTGAGAAAAATTTATAATTGAGCTTATCAGTTCGAAATGACATGGTATTTCGAAACATTTAGTAATTAATTATTCCTATATATGCTGTGAATTATTGTATTGTGGGCTGAAAGTAGCTGTCATGCAAAGTAATTCAATACTCAATAATATGTAAATTTGAAATTATTTTTCATTATGTTATAAATAATGCCGGCTTTGAGAAAGGAATATTTTGTTAGTCTGAATCGTCAATTTAGAAATTTTCTTTACAGTTTAGAAACTTGTTGACAGTGGAAAACCAAGCACCAATTTGGAGGATATGAGAAGTAAATTAAACTGTCTATAGAAAAAGATCGATTTATGGAAAAAGAAAATGTTTTACAAAATAGATTTTTGCGGCCCAATATGATTTCCTGTTTGACTGTATTAAAATTGAATATAGGATATTACTGAATAAATAGACCCAAAACTCAAAATAGTAAAAAATTGTGAGTGTCAATCCGAAATTTGATTGATTCCGTTTTAATCAACAGATAAAAAACTTGGAAAACTATGAAGTTTTGATTGACTTCAGAACCCATCAAAAATTGAAGACACCTGAATTTTTGAATAAAGTTTAAGAGGTTTATTACAAATAGAATGACAAAATAATTTGTTGATTTTCTGGCAAGATATGTTATCCTTTTAAATTTCGAAATGAGTCTGCTCACGATCATTAATTGAGAAATCGATCAATTTTTGTAGAAAAATGAACATCGAATTATTACACTTATATTCAACCATTAAAGCAATATCACTTATTTAAATTGAAATTTTTGTTACAAAAATCTTGTCGATTACTTCCACCATGAAAAAATTGTAGTACCTAAGAGCAATCAAAATAGTCAGGAAGTGTTTTCAATTTTAAGTTTCAACTTTTTTGTAATATAAACACATTGAAAAAATAACCTCGTAAGAAAGTTTCATAACATTTCTTTGGTTTTTCCTGGTAATTAAGTTAATTGGGATCATTATGCAAGACCATATCATTATTCAATTTTTTTGGGTATCTCAAATATTTTATGATGTTTGTAAAGTTATGGATTTCGGATTTAAATAATGTTCATTATATCATATTTTCCTCATAATAATCATCAAAAAAAAATAGTTCTAACAAAATTTATAGCAGATAAAATTGATTGACAAAATTTGCACAGATTCATCTTCCTTATATTTTTTCAACTTTCGTGGATCAAAACTAACCTCCTTCATCAATTTTGATGTAAAAATTGTTTTTGAATACATTCTCAAATTTGATTAATCAGATTTTGGCTAATTAAACCTTTTATGCATCAAAAACAGATATGATTTCATTTTAAGTAAGAAGAAAATTGAGATAGTTAGTTATTGATTTGATAGATCGAATGGTCATTCATTATCTAAAAGTGACATTTTTTCTTCAATATTTTATTTTTCAATCAGACATCAAGGAATGACATTGAATAATGAAGCCATGCTTAAAACAATTGCCTTTTCACTCCAAGAGGCTTCTATTCGCAACAATCTCCTTCTATTCTCAAATCCCTACTTAACAAGGTTCAATATGTTATCACCCCCAAAGATATCGATTGCTGACTACTTGATTTTTTTATATAATAAGTCTAAGGAGTCTCGTTCATGCTTCCTCTCAGCATTTATTTTACTCGATCGATTATTATTAAAGCAACCTCATATAATAATCACTCCTTTCAATGTTCACAAGCTGTGCTTATGTAGCATTCTTATAGCGTCAAAATTTTTATCCGACCGCGGTCTTACGAACAATGACTGGGCAGTGATCGGCGGTGTACCCGTTAGCGAGTTGAACTTACTCGAATTAGAGTTTCTTTTCTTAATAGAGTTTTCTCTTGTCATTTCGAAAGACGAGTATAACAAATACGAAGAAGTATTTATCGTCAAATCGAAACTACCAATATTTAATTAGCTTTTGTTTGTAAAATATTGTGTATGCTATCTACAAAATTCTACTCATTTTTGTTCAAAAGTAAGGAAAATTTTTCAATGATTGTTAAATCGTAACAAATATTCGTTCCTGCATAATCGTTTAGAATCGATCTGAGTACTCATTTATATGTATCAGCGTCGCTATCCAACTCTTCATGTTGTTTATCGGTAAACTCGTTTTATATAAAACTATAAAGGGGGTGTCACCATATTCGTAAAATTTTATATTGTTTTTGATTGAAATTATCCTACACTGGATGTATGTGTATTTTTTGGTAAATTTTTTGAAATTTAGGGGAATGCAAGCAAAATTTATAATCTTTGAATCTATAAATTGATTATATAGGCTGCAAATATGTTGCAACGTAGGGCACCTTTCTTCTCCCCAAGATATTTTTTGTTTATTTATATGACCATTCATTCCATTTTAAGAGAATATGCGGGTTATACTATTACACAAACCGGTCTTGTTCTTTCATTATTGGGAGGTGATCATGAAATTATTGATGAATGCCTGAAATTCAAAAAAGTGAACAATTATTGCATGCGTTTTGCAATTATATCTCATAATTTTGAATTTGTCAAATTAGTCATGGATGGAAGTGATATTAAGATAAACTTCCTTGAATGTTATAAAGTAGTATATATGACGGGTTGTGTGACTTTTTTTGTAAACGTAAGAATTCATACAATATTGAATGATTTTGTATCATTTTTTTTAACATATGAAGTAAAAAATGTATGATTCTTACGGTTTTTATTCTTACGTTTTTGAATAAATCAAGATTTAAAAAATTTTGTAAACGTAAGACATTTACACTCAGCCCAAACATGATGAAATAAAAAAAATTAACATTGTTTAAATCCTGAATGGAATCAACGGAGTCATAATCAAAGACCTCATAAACGAGTAAAAAGAAATTGAAACTATGATTATTTGAATTTATGAAATCAATTATTTGATTCATTCTTTCTTCAATCTCTTCTATTCTTTTTGTTAAATCATCTATTTTCATTAATGAGGTGATTCTTGATTGAGGAATAGATTTCAAACTAACCACCCTTTTATTTTTGAAATTTTGAATCCATCAACTTTAAACATTTTATTCAATTTACATGTTGTCAATTCTTCAAATAATTTTTTATTATTAGCATAATAGTCATTAAATTCTTCAACAGATGAAAAAATTTTTATTTCAGTAATTGGTTTAACAACGTTTATTTTTTGTTGAACATTTACACTTTCATTTATTTCTTCCTCCTCTGTTTCATTTATTTTTAAAATCGGTTTCATTTATCATTAAATAAAAATTAGAATATAAGTGATGAAATATATTTTTTAATTAATATTAAATCAGAAATGGCGGCAGGATTCTTTAAAAAATTATGGGATGGAATTAAGAAAGCTGCAGGTTGGGTTTATAAAAAGGTTATTAAACCTGTTGCAAACTTTTTGGCACCAGTAGCGAAAACGGCAGGAACTATCATAGGTGGAGTATTAGGTACTAAAGCAGGTAATCCGGCGATGGGAGCACAAGCAGGTAACGCAATTGGTGGAATAGCTGAAGGAATACTTAATAAAATAGGAGGTAGATAGTGGAAAAATAAATAAATATTATTTTTATCTTAGTATCGGTTGTAGTCTTTGATAAACTTTTTCTCCTTTATTTAAAATTTCTCTTATTGGGGCAGCTTTTGGTGTTATTGATTCAGCAACGTCACTAATTGCTTCTTTATTCTTAAATATCCAATTTGCTCCCTTCTTCAATGTTTCCCAAACTTTACTCGCTCCTCTTTTTACTTTATCCCACAGTTTCTTAAATATACCTGCAGCCATAGTTGATTATTTCATTAAAATTAAAAATTCATTTCCATCTTTTAATTTTGATTTTTTATTTATTAATAAATGACGACTAACTATTTAGTGCCAAACACTAAACCGATTAATGGAAATGTGTTTCATTCATTCGAAAAGATAAATGAAATATTCGCAAAGAATGACGGTAGAAGATATTATAGAGAACTTGAAAGTTCATGCTATGACTCTGATGCTCCATATTTTGATGATAAACAAACTCATTTAAGAATTACAAATCCGGCTCATGATGTGAACCAATTAGGTGACACATATATTAAACGCAAAGTTAAAGCAACTCTAGTTTCAAATAAAGCTTTCACATGTGATGCCGCTTTTAAATGCATGCGTTTATTCGTTGGTTACAAATCATCAAATCAAAGCTTTAAACAATTAGAAGTAGAAACCGAAAGAGGTGATGCCGGTTATCTTCAGATGGATTGCGCCCGTGAATCTTTCGCATTTGCAACATATAAACCAAAATCAGAAAGGAAAGTTAAAAAGTTTGTTCATTCGTTATATAATAATGTTCAAAAATATGATAACTCAGTATGTGGTAAATATATTGACCCTTCAGAAGTTTTCAAGAAAGCAAATGAAGAAGTTGATGTCACTTTTGATATGATTATTCCGGTAAATGATTTGTTAGCATTTCAGGCGTTCGATGATTATCCTAAATCATTTGGTGATATCATTCTTAAATATTATGTTTTCAGGGATACTTTAGTATTTTGTCAGGTTGACCCGTTAAGAGTTGCTGATTTACAAAATTACGTTTATGAAAAGATAACTGATGAAAATTATGAAAAGATTATGAATCATGTTTATAAATATGATCGCAAATTCCAACAAATCGGACTTCCTGCCAAATTAATTACAAGCTTAGCCGCTACATCTGCTGACGCAACAGTTGATGACGTTATTATTTCATGCACAAAGATGGAAGTTTTAGAGGATAAATGCATTACACCAGGATACGGTTTAATTGAAGAATCAGTTAAAGCAATACCACGTTTATTCAGTAAGGAAGATCCATTCATGATTCCAGCTCAACATATTGACGTTCGTTCACTAAATGGAGGTTGCATCACTCCTGAAGGTATTAGCTCAGATTTCTCATACGCTCTTCATAATGTTACAGATGTTGTGTTAACATTTCCGAAGAATGCAATGCAAAGAACAGTTTTAGAAAATCCAATGCTTCGAGGTCTTCAGGTCACTATAGATTCCAGAAACTTCCCCGATCAAGCGATGACCACAGTGGGTGACATATTCTTTACACGTATGCTTCAAGCTTCTGATTTAGATGGAGTGAATGAATGCACGGAAGAATACGAGGACTCATTAACTAGACCACTGAATGATGATATGGCACGCCATTAGCTAGAACATGGAAAGACCAAACTTCATTCTTATGCACTATTCCAGTTCAACGTGATGGAGCGGGTATATTCTTTGATGGATTAGAAACTTTCAACTCACAAGTTACAGTACAAGTGAAAGCTTATCCAATCATTCAGGGTGAAAATGACACTTACTGTTCAAAGGTGACAAATCCTCCTCAGGTTTGGTTTACTAGGACTACATATTGGACATGGACACCGGATGAAGGTTTGAAATATCATCCAACAGGTACACCACCGCAGTATAGAAGTTCATATGATGAAATATTGATGAATAGAAATGTTTAAAATTATAAATTTATTTTTGATTAAATGGATTTAAATTCATCCACCCCTTATGAAGAATTAGCAGGAGTATATAATACATACGTAGATGATATGATTAATGAAGCATTGAGTGATAATAGAAATGCTCTATCTAAGGAAAAATTAATGAAAATTCCATATTCTGAATGTTACTTAAATTCAATCACTGCAGCAATTGGTAAACAAAATAAAGGTAAAACATTAACGATATTAAAACAAATTATCATTATTGCTAACACTTCCCCCCATTCACATGTGTTAATTTATATCAACCGTTCAGGTTCACCTTCAGATGATACATTTGAATCTTTAAAGCATTTAATCAAAATTCCAATTATTTATTTATCACAAGAAGAAGCAGAAGATTATTTAAAAAACTTTTTAATGTATAAAGAATTATATAATACAATCAAGAAGCAAGGATTAGAGGATAAAATTATTGATAAACAACGGGATGAATTATTTGAAACACTTTCTATTTCAAATTTTGATAGAGAATTTTTGCATTCACTCATTTTTCTAGATGATGCAGTGAAATCAAAACTAATAACAAATGAGAAATCATATTTTAATCAGTTATTAACTCAATGTCGACACATTCAGTGTTCATTCTTTATGGCTGTTCAATATTTCAAAGCATTAAGCACAAACATTAAATCAAATCTATCAACACTTTTCATTTTCAGTGGGTTTAGTCGTCAACAGTTGAACGTTATGCTTTATCAAGTGAATTTACCAATGAGCATTAATGAACTTTACACACAATATCAGCAATTAGGTGAACATGGAAAAATAATAGTTGATTTAAATAAAGGAAGTGTTAAATTTGATTAACTTTTTATAATTAATTTTTATTTTTTATTTATAATTAAACATGACAGAAATAGCAAATCTTCTACAGGTTCCATTAAAACAAGGGACAAACAAAAGGGGTGCATATAATAGAACTATGAAAGTTCCTGATGGAATGAAAGAATTAGTTCATATTGTTGCTGGTCTTCAAAAAGATGTTAAACAAATGAGAAACGTTTTAACATTACCAGAAGCTCAAGCATATGCCAAACGTCATGGTCCAAATTGGGAAGCACACGAAGCAGACATTACGGGTCCAAATGGAAAACCTGATGGTATAAATGAAGTTTTCGTTACTGATGGTCAAGGTAATATTAAAGTCATAAATGGTTATAAATTAACTATATCTGATTATCCTAAACGTAAAGCATATAATGAACGTTATCCTATGCAATTTGATGAAAATGGAAAAGCTGTTAAACAATACATTGGAGAAGGTGAAAATGGTCCAATTAATTCATACCGTCATAATCCATATTCTTATTTCAATGAAGAATTAAATGCTATTGAAGAGGGACCGGATGGATTACCACGATATTCTAACCAGTTTGATGGTCAATATGCAAATATTAGACCCGAAATTTCAGCTAAGAAATTCTTTAAAGTTGCTTTATTCGATCCAGTTTTCGCAAATGTTAAAGATGAACTTAAACAGCAATTCCAACCAATTATAGTAGCAAGAATTGCATCAGGTGCTTTATCTCAAGCATTCAAAGATTTAATTAAGAAACCATTATATCAGCAACGAGGTTTAACTTATGATTTAGTTAAGGAATCAGATAAAAGAAAATTTGAGAAATCAGTTGATTATAAGAATGCAATTAATGAATATATTCGGTCTATTAATTTCGATGAAACAGCTAAAAATCAACTTCATGAACAAATACAGGGAATAATAGATTCAAAAGTTCCAGCAAAATAAAAGTTTAAATATATTTTTTTTATTCGAATATAAATGAGAAGACGTTTCACTAGTCAAAAGAACACTAACGCAAAAGCAGAGATTACGGTTGGTTATAACGTAAATGATGATAAATCACGAATTATTCAAAATGTTAAAGTTAATGTTAGCCCTGAATTAACAAGGTCAGCAACTCAACCAAATTTATTAACTCGTGACTTACCGAAAAGAGGAGAATGAAGAAAACCATGAGAATGGAGACCCAATCATTTTATCTGAACCTGGTAAAGAACCTGTTGAAATTCCCACTTATCCAACATACCCCCACCTCTTTCATCAAACATCGAGAACCCATATAAAATAGACATTAATTCTGAATTAATGAAAATTTACCGTGATATAATAATTAATAATTATGATTCAATAATAAATTTAATTGACCAATCCGGTTTAATTATTTTACCTTATGAATCATTAATTCACATTATCGCCATTCTTTGTGATGTTCAAGATTCAGACGTTAAGATTCAATTTTTCATAGATGATGAGGTTTCATGCTGCGGAACAGTTGCAAAAATAAATCCTATAAAGGATATTAGCACAATTAAGATATCAAAGAATGAACAACAACTGAACTTCATTTAACATATAATGATATTTATAATAAAATAGTTGATGAATATAAAATATCACTTGAAAAATTCTTTGTTAAGGCTTTTTCTTTTAATATTCAAGCATTAACATTATCGAATAATAATCCTTTGAATCATAATCAATAATAATTGACCTTTCACCAGTTTCTATCGTTTGTTTTATTTCTTTTTGTTCCCCACTATCCGGATCGGTCATTGTAATTGTTTTTGTTATAGTATCAGCTTTATCTTTAACTTCAATCTTTTTTCCATCAGGATATTTAAACCAAAATTCCAAAAATTCGATATTGTCAATCTGTTCATATTTTAATCTATCAATTACATTTTTAATACCATCTGAAAATCTTATGAAATGGTCATTATATGGGTTTGATTGAACTAAATTTGAATGAAGTGAAATATAACCTGTTGATGAATATGACATCGACTCATATTTTCTGAAAACACTAAAATTTATAACATGAATGAATTTCTTATTCGTTGAATTTATGAATTCTTGAGGTAATCTTATTCTAGTTTTATTTATCACTGGAAAATAACGCTTTACCATATTTTTAATCGTATTAAAAATGTCAATTATCAATATTATTTCGAATAATAACTGTGAATTAAATTTAACAGTTAGTGGAATTTATAATGTTACTCTCGTTTCTGTGAGTGGTAAATTTAATCCATTCTTTTAGACCCTTCAGATTATATATCATTTATTAAAGATGACCATGAAAAAACGTATGATATGTATATAAATAATGTGATAGCGAAATGGGATATTAACACGATTTTAAGTTATTTAAATGAATCATTTATCGTATGGTATGAAGAAAATTTTAAATCAAAACCTGATAAACTTTTTGAACTTGATGAAATAAATAACCTTATTAAATTTCCGCTGAAAATTAAATTTTGTACTCCTCATCTTCGTTCATTGTTGGGATATTAAATTTTGAAAAAGATGTTGGGGATGTTTTGTATTCTGACACTGGTTCCAATTTCATTTTAATCAAATGTGATAAAGTTAATACCCCAATGAGATTTTCACATCAAACATTAGACCCTAACTCTTACCCATCAATACAAAACATTTTATCCATCAACTTAAACACATTTTCTTTATCATATCCGTTTCAATTATCCGGGAATTCATTTATTCTTCATTCAAAAGATTTATCAAATATTAAATTTAGAATAACTGACCTATTTGATTGTGATTTAGAATTTATGAATGAAATATTATGGCAATTTCAAATAGAAAAAATAGCTGATGAGATAACGGATTAAATATTTATTTTTAAATCATAATAAATGATTAAACAACAGCAACCACAGCAACTTAAGGCGCAAAGCACCCAGGTCCTTCAGACCATTACATACGCCATATATGCATATAATTCAAAGACAGCAGAACAAACACAAAGGTTGAAATATGGAGATTTGGAGATAGTATTGAAAAATGACCATTTCGAATTCGTTTGCAAAGGTGGTGCAGTGATATCAAATATAAAAGAAATTTTATTTATGAATTCAAAAATTAAAGGTATAACGGATGATATAACATCAATTCCACCAGAAGAACAAAGATATTACGCATTAAATGCATTTCCTAAAGTTTTGAAGATTGGAAGATTTAATTTAAATGAGGAATTCATAAAAGGTTTCCTTAATGACATAGAGAAGAAGGCAGATAAGGAATATGTCAACGGTGAATTAATGAAGAAGGCAAATTTGGTTTATGTTGATGAAAAAGATAATGAAATTAAAGAAAGGGTTGAATGGTATCATGAATGGACATCAAAGATTTTAAAAACTAAAGCTGATACAGGATGGGTTTCAGGATGTTTAGACCTTAAAGCAGATAAAACTTATGTTAATGGTGAGTTAGAGAAGAAGGCAGATAAGGAATATGTCAACGGTGAATTAATGAAGAAGGCAAATTTGGTTTATGTTGATGAAAAAGATAATGAAATTAAAGAAAGGGTTGAATGGTATCATGAATGGACATCAAAGATTTTAAAAACTAAAGCTGATACGGGATGGGTTTCAGGATGTTTAGACCTTAAAGCAGATAAAACTTATGTTAATGGTGAGTTAGAGAAGAAGGCAGATAATGAATATGTCAACGAAATATACCAAAGTTTGATAGGAACAACTAAAAATATTGAAACTATTGTTGGTGACTTTTCTGTCAATGAAGAAAATAAATATTTTAGATGGCAATTGGTACAGTCCTTAAAAAATGGTGCACGGTGTAAACTCATTCCGAAAAATAACAATGAAATGTATGTAAGCTATATAAAGAATAATGGTACACAAGTTAAAGTTCCATTAGACAACAACTGCTACTTAAACTTATATGGAGACGAACAAAAGAAATATTTAAGAGTTTATGAAATGGCAGATATGACATTGCCTCACCCAGCTCCAGCACCATATTATTATGACTATGGAGATGACGACAGAACACCACATGTAGATGAACAAAAGCTAACATTATATTTAGATTATTATAGATATAAAAGATATGATGCAATAGAAAAAACGAGAATAGTATATTATTATACAGATGACAAAAATAAATATTATAGTCAAGATTTTACCTACCCTGAAAACATAAGATTATATTATAAAAAATATTCTGACACAAACCAGAAGAAACCTGAAATAGTTGCACTATATTTTAAGTTCAAAATAGACAATCCTATATTATCTCATATGTTTGATTTAATGAACCCAGTAGGTTCTATTTATACATCTATGGATGCAAGAGGTCCTCAAGTAATGTTTGGTGTTGGTGCATGGGAACAGATTGTAGACAGGTTTTTGTATTGTGCAAACTCTTCAAAGGAAACAGGTGGAAGTAAAACAATTTCAGGTGAAAATTTACCTGCACACAGTCACTACATAGATTTAAGTACATCTCAGGCAGGTTGGCATAAGCATAGATATTGGGATTGGTCAGGAATGACAAAAGGTAAAGGATATGATGTTAAAGACGACGTTAAGTTTGCTATAAATTGTTACTGGAGTGACACTCAGGGAGAAGGAAACCATACACATTCTGTTTCAGGATATACACAAACAACGGGACAAAGTAAAGAATACATGCCACCTTACATGACAGTTTACGCATGGTATAGAGTTCAATGAACGCTCAATGTTTGTAAAACAAACTTTAGAACGGACTGAAAGTCCTGAGCTCCAAAAGAGCGAACAGCATAATTTAAATTTTTATTTTAGTATAAATGAAGATTCTACCATATGGTGTTATTGGAAGAGATAAAGATGGAAACCCAATATTTGATCCAAAGTTAAAATTAAAGTTACTGACAAGACAACAACTTGAAAAGTTGCTGAAACCAAAACAGGATGAAAAATGAGAAAATGAGAAAGAAAAATTTAAATTATGCAATTTTATTTTTATCATAAATGACAAAATTAATTAAGCCAACTATTTCTAAATTAATGATACCAATGAAATCATTTCGTGGAGTACTTATCCCAGGTTCTTCACAATTAGCCAGGGCAAGTGTTGTGACTCAAGGTGGAACATTAGCGAATCCATTCAAATTATTAACTAAAGATGAACTTAATAAAACGATGATAAAATAACTGATAACAAAATTTTATTTCACTGCTACCAGGTCATTTAACTTCTTTAAAAAATGAGACAACATGACATTTTGACAACAGTCCTGGAAATATGATGCAGCCCAAAAATAAAGTTAGTTTTAAAATTATTTTTATTTTTTTATTTTGTATGTAAGAACAGAAATGTCAGTCGAAGCAAAAACATTCACAAACAAATCTAATGGTGAAACATTCACAAAAGGCACTTATAATGGTATTGAAGTCTTACGTAGAGACAAGGATGGTTACATTAATGCAACAAAGATGTGTCAACAGTTTAGGAAAGACTTTAGAAAGTTGTTGGAAAATAAGTCCTGGGAAGAGTATTATAAGGCATTTTGTGAAGAATATAGCAACCGCCGGAATTCCGACGGTTGCTTTTTATACAAAATTCATGTAGGAATTCCTGATGAAATCAAACAGGTTAGAGGAACGTATGTAGACCCAAGACTTATAAACTATATAGCAATGTGGGCTTCTCCAAAATATTGCATAGCAGTTGGAAAAATTATGGACTCCATAGACAAGAAAGTTCATGAGAAATTAGATGAAGAAGAACTCGAAGATACAGTAGAGAATGCTAAACATTTGTTTGAAGAAGAAGTTGGAAAAATGTGTGAAAAACAATTAGAACACGAACGTGAGATATGTTATGGTTATAGAGATTCTCCATACGAACTAGACCAATGGGAACAAGAAGATTTAAAGAGAGAATTTAGAGAATATGAACTCGCTAAGATAGCATTTGAAGCTGCAGAAAAGAAGTTAAAAGTTTGGGGTCGTTTTGTACAAAAATATTGTGAGTAAATGAATCATTTATTTTTATCATAAACGACCAAAAATAAATTTTTATCGTTAATGTTTACGTTAATGTTTTCAGGTTATTCATTTATTAATTATTTTTGAATAACTGATGAGGTCACCAGGTCACCAGGTCACCAGGTAATTTAACTTTTCTGAAAAAATGAGACAACATGACATTTTGACAACAGTCCTGGAAATAAATTTTTATCGTTAATGTTTACGTTAATGTTTTCAGGTTATTCATTTATTAATTATTTTTGAATAACTGATGAGGTCACCAGGTCACCAGGTCACCAGGTAATTTAACTTTTCTGAAAAAATGAGACAACATGACATTTTGACAACAGTCCTGGAAATAAATTTTTATCGTTAATGTTTACGTTAATGTTTTCAGGTTATTCATTTATTAATTATTTTTGAATAACTGATGAGGTCACCAGGTCACCAGGTCACCAGGTAATTTAACTTTTCTGAAAAAATGAGACAACATGACATTTTGACAACAGTCTTGGAAATATGATGCAGTCCAAAAATAAAGTTAGTTTTAAAATTATTTTTATTTTTTTATTTCTATATAAATGACGGCAACAAACAACAACAGCAACTATATCGTTTCTGATGAAAAAGTTATTGATTCATTAGTTGAGGAATTAGTTATGACAGAAACTAAAACCCTCAATGAAAGAATTGGTGAAAACATGATTGATTTACATAACTACCTCAAACATGATGGAGGAAGAGGAAGGAAAACTGGTATGGCTTTATTAGTAAATAAAATATCAAATTTAACGATTATAGATGTTGATATCAATAAATCGTACAATGATGAACTTAAAGAAACAGTTAGAAAAGACATTTTATCAAAACTTTCGGATAAAGATGTTATCGTTAAAACCGCTTCAGGAGGTCTTCACATTTATTGCAACACTAATTTCTTCTATGTAGTTTCGAACAGAATGATTAAATGTTATTCCTGCAATGATTATGATATTGATATAATGACTTCTATTGATGATTCAAAGCGTTCATTAGTGGTTATGGCTGATTCAAGAGTTCGAAAGAATGCAACAGAACCAATCAATACATACTCATTCATTCGTGGAAGTTATGACTCAACATTAACTAGAACAGTGAATGATATATTAAATGATTTGAATATTAAGGTAAGAGTTGAACAGAAGAACGAAGAAATAAAGAGTATAATGAATGAAAATAAAGATGTAAACATTGACGATAAACTTGCCCAGAGCATAGTTGATGGCATCTGTGATTTTGAAGTACATAATGACGGTGGAAACATGAATTTAGAAAAAGAAATAACATTATTCACACTGTTTCAAGCAATTAATTCGTTACCTAATCATTTAATTAATGAAGCATACGATAACGTTTATAACTTCTGCAGTTTAACAGAAAATGCAAAAAGTAATTTTGAAAAAGCACGTGGTAGATATGCACATTTAATGACTTCTCCATTTGTTTTGGTGAAGATTCTAAAACTATATCAAAAGGAATATTATGATGAATATGTTTTGCCTTTATTACGTAAGCCAAAAATAACATTTGACATCAAACTTGATGACTCGTTTTTGATAACAGATATTAGACGCAAGGCTGAAAATCATCAGTATAAAAACAGTTCTGAAGTAATTGAGGATTTATCACGTGTAATCCGTTTTGTAGATTGTGGAAACAAATACTTTATTCAAAAGGACTATAATATCCACGACAAAATGAATCAAATATCATTCGTTCTTCAATCAAACATGAAAGAGTCACTTAAAATGATTAAATTATTTAAAGAAGAAGGTAAAACCATAACAGCATGGGATGTACTATTAAATCAATTGTCTTCATTAACCGTTAAGGGTGTTTGCTTTAAATCTAATTTCCCTGATGTTTTCTCAACGTTTCAAGGTTATAAATACAACATTCTCGAAAAACCAGATTACTCAAAAATTGAGATGTTTATGAATTTCATTAAAGAAGCCGTTTGTGATAATAACGATGAAGTGTATAAATACCT